CCTCTTCCATCCAATGTAATAAGCACTTGTATTTTGGGTTATTTCTAGAGTACAGCCTCTACTAGCCCCACACAGCCTCTTTTGCCAGGGCTAATTTAGGATGGAAGAAGGTGCTAGAATGCTAATTTGTAAAGGCAGGGACTTTTTGGTCAACCCAAACCTGGTATGTTGGCTTGCTTGTCTTGGGTCAAAAACACATCACAACCCACCAGGCCACAGCTGTTCACTGGATTAGTCCTGAATTACAACTGCCAGGTGCTCGTCCTTTTTATTTTGCAGGTATCCAACAACAACAATCAAAATCAACACAAATCACCATTTAGAAACAGGAATATTTTGCATTTCAATACTATTTCCACTAGACAGATCTGGAGGGATTTTGCCACTGACACCTCAAAACACTCCAACGCACCATAGAAATTGTCTTTGCTTCTCAGCCTTTTGTTTTTTTAGCTTTCATAAAGAACTCAAACATAAATACAAAAGACCTTAGTAATTAGTTTTAAAAAAAAGACAAAAAAAAAGACAAAAAGAGAGAACTGAGATGGAACCTGCCTTCTGATATTTGAACAAAGAAAGATCACATTTTAAAACTCCTTGTATCTAGAGAGACAGTGAGACCCTTTTCAGCAATATTAAGAAAGCAGAGCTGAGCTTGTTTGGGAACAGTACAGCACCAAAAATCAGATTACAAGAGCAGTTGAATCTTTCCTCACATCTTCCTTCCTTTCAACACTCAGGGAATGAGAGCTACCACCAATTAAAGAATAATGGCTGCAAGTTCAGAACTTGTTAATGTGTGTGTACATCACCTTCAAAACACGAAGCCATAAATTCTGACTCCACGACACACTAGAGGTATTTAATACACATCCTTCTTTATCATTCCTCTCTTTAATAGCTGGAAGAAATGGAAGGGAAGATAACCTCCCACCAATTATGTGGGAACTGAAGTTTGTGTTTTGCAGCGGGGGCCGTTAGACCCAACATCCACACTGACCTTAAAACTTGGGAATAAGTTTATAGAAGGGGATTTTGCTCACCCCGTGCACAGAACAAACTGCCATTAGGATAAACAGCAGATTTAAAAGCCTCTTCATGAACAGAATGAAAAACTGAGACTGAAAGAAAGGAGCTGTGGCATTCAGAGCACAAGCTGGATCCTTCTGTGGATCCAACAGACCCGAGCTCTCAGGTCTCTCTTTCACGGACAAGTTGCAGCATTAACATTTACCTGTTCTCAATAAAAACACAGCCTGGAAATGCAGTGGGATCAGCAGGATCCACCACCTTGTACAAGAGGCAAGATGAGGCAATGGTACTGTCCCTGCAAACATTTAATGCAGTCCAGATGGACTTCAAAGCTGTGAAAAACATGAGGTTTTTTTAAGAGTTTGACTATTCTTTTGGTCAAAAGCTTGTAGGAGAAACAAAATTAATATGAAAAGAACTGCAGTGAAGATAGCAAAAAACCCTAAATGATCTTGGATTCAATTTCTTACAGTTCTTATAATCTCAGGGTAGGCAAAATAATAAAATATAGAGCAAAGAAATTCCATCAGATTATTTAAAGAAATAGCTAAGAACATTGCACACAATTCATATTGGGCTCTTATTTAAATCTGGAATTGGAAGAAGTGTGCCTATGCAGACAGGTATAAAGCCCACAATCCATCAGGAGTGGGACACATAATAATACATCCATGAAATAAGGGACAAATGCATTACACCCTTCAATACAACAGACAGTTTTCACCTTTCACATAATTCTTAAGTAGGTCTACATGTGAATGAATAGGAATTAGTGGGAGTAATAACACTTGACACCAACCTGGTAACTGGTCTGGGGATCAGATAGGATTAGGAAGGATACTGTATCACAAAACTGGAAATGATCAGAAACACTTTGGCTGCAAACACTTTGCAAAACTAGATTGACTGCATTGAAGTTTCCTGTCTTGGAAATAAAATAAATTTTGACTTCACACAGCTGCTCTATTTTTGTACCATCAGAACAAGTGTTTCAGAACTGCCATTGTGAATCGCAGTCTGTGCTGTGTTTATCTGCTATATGACAAATCAGAATTGGAACGAAAGCCAAAAAGTATGCCTTAAATGACCTGAAAAACGAAATTCTGTCATAGTAGCTTCCTTCCAAGAACAGGAATTAAAAAAGGAAAATTTCTAAAAATGCAGCTGAGCAGTAAAGCAAGCCCTGTAGTGCTGAAGCCTTTCACAAATGTTCATTCCCCATTCTGGCACAGCAGCTTCCAGCACTTGACGCACACGCTCCCGAAGTCGCTGGGCACCAACACTACTGTAACCACCACGTCAAATCTGCTTTCTCTCCTCACAGCCTGCTGCTTGGTCACGGCCCACCACTGCCCTGGGAGCATTTCCCCATCCCCTCTCTGCTCCCTGTGCAGAGCAGCAGCGGTGCCAGGCGCCTTTCCGCTGCGCGAGCGCGGAAGCGCAGCCGCGCTGCTCCGGCGCTCCTCGCTGCCAGCATCCTCCTTCCTCCTTGGCAGAGCGTCAGGGCAGCTCCTGCTCCCTGGGCTGGCGGTGCTGGGACAGGCCAGGCTCAGGCAGGCAGCTGGGGAGCCCCAAACTGGAAGGGTGCAAGAGCAAAGCAAGGTGTCCAAGCATCGCTTTGCGGCGCAGCTGCTGGCGCGAAGCGAAGTCAGGTTGGGAGGAGCATTAAAATCAGGGAAAGGTTTTTCCTTTTCTACAGCATCACGCACAGCCCACTCCCAACTCCAGTGATGACTTGCCCAAGGAACTTAACACAATCCAACGCTTGGCACTATCCAGACACTTGCTTTTAGTAGCAGCATGTGAAGCATTCAAGTACCAACAGTAGCAGCTTTGTAGCTTTATACTACTCTTTGCAAAGAAGAAAAACAGCAAGTACATTTGTGATCTTTAAGTCTTCTGATTTCAGGCAGGGAATGAGATAAATTCATCCTCATCAAAAGTACAGAAGAAATTCTAACTGCACTCCACTGAGTCATTACACACCAAGATCTGATTTGGGAAACAGAAGCATTTATAATCTTACTTACAACCTCAGTGGGTCTACTTGTGAATAAAACCTCACATGTGCTAAACCAGTGGTAGTCTTTAAAACAATTAACTTTGCAAGAAGTCAGAACTAGTTCAAAATAGTAAAAGCTTTGTAATCAGATTCAAAATATGGTGGTTTTTTTTAATGTGGAAAAAATAAAAATCAGAGGAAAGTCTAGCTGCAACCTTCCATCACCTGTAATACAAGTGATATGAGCTGTTAAGCATAAGTGAAGCCTGTGGGTGTACTGAGGGCAGCACATTTCTCCCTCTTAGACCTTCAGTCATGTTATTAAAGGCCTGTCACATTTTTCCTTCTCCATTTCTTCCCATTTCAGAATCCCCCTAGACATGGTAAGGAGATAATATGCTTGATAGTCACTTTTTCTACCTGAAGATATTTTTTTTCATCTAAGACATGCTGAATTGGGTGATTAGTCCAATCAAATCTGGTGCCTCGATTCCGGCAGAAGCCAATATTGAATGTTTGAATGTTCCCTGGAGTTATGAAGCACACACCACACCACATTAGCAGAACTAGTCAAATATGCATCACTCAACATTCAGGAAAAATTATTTCATGGCCTCCATGGCCACACCTTGATATGTCAGACCTAGTTACATTTGGGTTTTTTTTAATCTGTATTTATTGATCATAAAACAATGCCAGCCTTTCTCAATGCATATATTGATCCCAGTGTGATACCTTTTGATTAGAGAGATGATGTGGCCAATCCTCTTACATTCGAGGGGCAAAAAAAGAAAGAGCTCAGACACGTCCAAAAATGCAATGACGGCTGAACGCTCCCCATTGGCTGCGCATTTTGGCATTCATTGGCTTTTTATTACGTAGGGGAGTTAAGCAGAAGAATAAAGATTTTTTTTTTTTTTTTTTTTTTTTTTCTGTCTACACTGGGAACCTCAGGACCTAAAGTCCTGAAGCAAACACAAAGTTCTGAAGGAAAGCCCCGAGGGCTCTCAGGAAATTAATCCCCACTCAGCTGACTAGTCATCCCACCAGCAGCCCAGCACCGCTCCTCCTGGGATCTCATGACACAGATGAAAGAGCAACTACACGGCAAAAAAACCCCGAAAAAAACAACAAAAAAACAAAAACAAAAACAAAAAAAAAACCCAAAACAACCCGAAAAAAACAACAAAAAACCAAAAAAACCAAAAAACAAACAAACAAACAAAAAAACAAACAAAAAAAAACCAAAAAACCCCAAAAAAACCAACCAAAAAACCCCCCCAAAACAACCCGAAACAAACTTCAGCCACACTGGTGGAGACAGAGAAGGAAGATTCAAGGCAACACGGTTTATCTGAAAACAATATTCAGAACACACACGTTCTTTGCCCCGTTAAGGAGCAGCACATGGATTCCCGACAGAAGGGGCTGGTTGTGCCCAGCCATCACTTAGTTTAGCAGGAAGATGCCGAGTGATTCTCCCGGGAGCACCGGGAAGATCTACCAAAGCACCCAATCACGATGCAGAGCAGCTTAAAAAAGCAAAGAATAACAAAAAAAGCACCCTCTGTCTCTAAAGCACGGTCAGTTCGGCTGGCAGAGCAACTCGCTTCGGATCCAAACGCCGTGACACAGCCCAAAAGAAATCCTGGGGACCTGATCCGCAGATTCCCCGAGCAGGGGCAGGACAGGGCAGCCGGGGGATGCTTCTCTCCTCTCTCCCCTCCCTGCGGGTCCGCAGAAAGTCGCTGCTGCTGCCGCCGCTCCCCCGCGCCAGGCACCGGCCCCGTCTCCCGGGAAGGGAGGGGGAGAAAGGGGAAGGGAGGAGGCGCCAGCGCCGAGCACCGGGACAAAGTTGCGTTGGAGCCGGGGGGGCGGCCGAGTCGCTCCCAGCCAGGAGAAGTTTGGCCCCCTCCTCCCCATCCCTCCCAGCGCCCCCGGCCCGCATCCCCCGGCCCGCTCCTACCGCCTGCGGCGGGGTCCCGATCAGCATCTCCAGGTAGTAGCCGCGGCCGGAGTCTCCCTGGAGGTTCTCCACCATGGCTAAAAAGTTGAGGGTGCCGCCGGGATCCGAAGCCAAGGCCAAGCCGTCCGCAGCCCCGGGGGCATCCTGCTGCCGGCTGCCGCTGGCCGGCCGCAGCACCACCGGGGCGGGCGGCGACCCGGCGGGGGCGGCGGGGTGGGACACGCGGAGCGGGAGGGAGAAGAGCGCCCGGCAGAGCCCCGCGGTGCCGGCCAGGAGCAGCAGCAGCAATCCGGGAGCCGCCGGCGGCGTCCCCATCCCGGCGGCAGCGCCGGGGCCGGGAGTCGCTTCCCAAGTGCGGCGGCTCCGGCCGGAGGCAGCGGCCGCCTGGCTGCCAGACTGGAGCAGCCGAGGGGGGGAGGAGGAGGAGGAGGAGGAGGAGGAGGAGGAGGAGGAAGAAGAAGGGAGCGGCTTACCCACGCCCCGGCTCCATCTCCCCCTCCCCCGAAGCGAGCTCCTCCTCGCGTTTCTCCCGCACGGCCCCCGGGCGGCCGGAGCGCTCCGAGCTCCGGGGGCCGTGCGGGGAAAGTTGCTCCGATCCAGCGCCCACGGGAGAAACTTCCCGGCTCGGCTCGGCCCTGCTCCCGGCCCCGCTAACGGGGCTTGACGACACAGCGGGGAGAAAAGTTTCCGAAAGCCCTGAAGGGAGAGCGGCGGAGCCGCGGCTCCGCTCCCCGCCCGGTGCGGGGCTCCGGCGGCTCCGTGCGGAGCCGCTCCCATCGCCACCCCGCGGGAGCGGAGGCTGTGGTCGGACAGGAGGAGGTGCAGCAGGGGATGCGGGGTCACTCGGGGATGCGGGAGCATCGTGTCCCCGTGTGCCGGTTCACACGGTGGCGGCTGGTGTGAGGAGCGGGCGGGTCTGTGTATGTGTGCGTGTGGAAATTCAGCTGCTGCGCCGGCAAGAGCGAGGCACGCAAGGCGTCTGCTGGAGGGAGCATGCGAGGCTCTAAATGTCTTCATCATGCACGGAATTAATAACGGCAGTCAAGTGCGGCCTTTTGAAAGATGGGAACACTTAGGGTGGAATTAGTCTCGACATCTCGGGAGTAATGACAGTGCCTGATGGATCGTTGGATGGAGCGGATAGTCCGAAAACCCTGAAATGTAACACTGGGCAAGTCTAAGCAGAGTCACTCTGTGGTTGTTTCTGGCTCTTCCCCCAGTCCCCTGTTGTAGATAAAGTTGAAAAATGTCCAGCTGAAGTCATGTGTACTCTCGGTGTCCCCTGATCAATTTGCTGTCCTAGGCAGCCACCTGGTCTCTCCCTGTGTGTAAATCTGTGCAGAGCTGTGTGGACTGAGATCCCTTCTCTGCCAGAGTACACTGAAAGAGCTCCCCCCTTCCCTTCCTTGAGCTGGAGTAATCATCCACGAGGTTTCCAGGTGTTTCACAGGTATTAAATGAAGTTTTTTTTAAGAGGTAGACAGTGTTCATTCCTGGGAAGGCTGTTTGGGGGAAGGATACTTGGGTAAGGCTGTTAACTGTAGGCATTTGTCAGAGTTGCTTGAACAGGATAATCCTTAAAAAGAAAGCGGGAGCCCACCTTCCCTTGTTGAAGGAAAAGAGGTGTTTTCACATATTTTACAGTGATGTTTTTGTTACTCTGTCTCTGTCACCTCAGATCTGGAGCTCTCGTGCTCACCTTGTAGGGCCTCCCTTGGATCAGTTCAGTGCTTCTGGTGCAGCTGGATGCTTTTCCTCCTGCATCCATGGCAGGAGGAGGATGCAGACCCTGTCCTGGCTGCTGGAGCTCTCAGCAAGAAGGAAAATGCTGCAAGGGAAGTCTGCAAGGACCGTGGCCTGGCTGGGGGCTGGAGGAGAGGTTATAAATGGAGCTTCCTCTCAGGAGGTTGTTGTGCCTGTGGGAAACCACACACCTTGGTAAGAGGTGAAATTGTGCAAAGTTCCCCTGCTGCACAAAGCGTTCTATTTGCCTGACAAGTAGGAAGGTGAAATATTGCAGCCCTGGTCTGTCTAGTCTCACCTGATCCAGACAGAGGGGAAATGCTGCTGTGGGCTGATGGCAGCTGAGCACCTGAGGGAGTGGCAGCCAGGCTCACACAAAGAGGTTATCTCCGGGGTGCTACAGTAATGGCTTTTCCTGACGTGGCTGGGATAGTGACAGGTTGCATTGTAGGGCCTGTCTAGTCACAGCTGAAGCCAAGGGGGAATTAAAATGCTTGGGGCTCTTCATGGGTGAGCTGAAAACTGGAGAAATGCCCCCGCCCCTTTGGAAAAGGGAATGGGAAAAGTAATCAGGAGTATAATTGAACACCCCCTCAGAGTGGTAGGGATGTATTTAGAACAGTCAGCAGCTATGTGCATTTTGTTTTAATTCCTTTACAGTACAGTAAGTCTTCCCCCTTGCTGCTGTTGCTAAGATACATTACCACACTCCTGGCTAAAGCAATTCCAGGCAAAGGAGCACATAGTTTTCAGAGCACACAAGATATAGCATAGCCTTTAAGTATTTAAGAGAAAACTTGTCCTTTTTTTTTTTTTTTCCATGCTGTTTGATAAAAGTTCTTCTCGTCCTGTTTTCCGCAGCCCTGGATCAGTCTCGCAGTGAATGCTCATCAGGCAGCTGCTGTGTGTGAGATGCTGTGTGTGAAACCTTCCTGCCCTCCCATGGCATCATCCCAGCAGGGCTGGTGTGCAGCCTGCCGTGGGGTTTCTGCCTTGCCTCCCTTGCTCCTTTATTTATTTCAGTATCTGGGAAGGATTAGGCTGTGCCACGTACAGGTGAGAAGTTCTGGAGCATTTCTGAACGCTGGCAGGAATGGGCCTTAAAAGTGCAATGTGAACAGCTGCTTGGGAAAGGAGTTGTAAAAAAAATCCTCCCAGAGAGCCAAATGTGACTACATCCAAGATGTTCCTCAGAGGGGAAGTCATCTGTATGCAATGAATGCCACAGTCAACATGCACGTTTGGGTTTTTTATGTATCACACACAGAAAATAAATGAAATGCCAGAAATAGACTCAAGTTTGAGTGTCTGTGCACTTTGTAGTCTACAACAGTTGGTGAATCTTGTTTTTCTTATTTTTGTGATTCCAAATATGTGTTCTTTGAGTAAATAATAAAAAAAAAAAAGTAATTTTAAGTATCAGTCTCAGTGAATAAGCCTTTTTTTTTTCCTTGAAGTCAACTGCCTGAATATAATTTTCCAGGTAAATCTTTACTTTAATCCAACTCTGTGATAATTTATTTTGATGGCACTGTGGTGCTTTAAACCTTGAGCCACTTGACAGTGAATTAACGTTTGTCTCTACAACACAACCTTCCACCAGTATTTACAGAAATACAGAGCATCATAAAAATGCAGCTCCTCTGTGCTGTGGGCAAGGCGTGTGAACTCAGTCAGAGGGGACAGTTGCTGTGTGGAGATGTTAAATCAGGCCTGTTGAGACAACCAGCAGCAACAGAGAAAGCATCTGAAGATGCAGAGGAAGTGCTGGAGCTGATCTGAGCAGGAGGAACTGTGTGTGGCTAAAAAGAGATCCTCTCCCTCCCGAGGAGGAAGCTATTAGGGGACTGCTCAGATCGAAGTGTTTCTCTGCCCAGCTTCTGAAGGAGTCAGGCTGACCTGTGCTAGCCTTACACAATGATAAGGGCAGGTGGCCACAAAGACTTCTGTCCTGAAACTGCTGTGTCTGCTGTCTGTGTTCTTGCTCTTAGCATAATCAATACTTTGGTTTTAAGAAGAGTGATTGTTCCTTACTCTATTTCCACAATGCTCCTGAAGGAAACCCAGCTGGACCTGCAAAGGGTTAATTCACAGAATTCAGCAGCCCAAGGAGAGGAGGGGTTTTGTTCTTCCTGGAGGTGACTGGGAAAAGGTCTTCTCTGTCTGTGCTTGTCTTGCAATCAGCTTTTTCATATTTTGAGCCTAATCCAGTGAAGTATTGCTTGTACAAGATGAGTGTAAACAATCAAGGGGCAGCAGAGGCCACGAGGTCTGGCTCTGGTTTGTGTCTGCCAAGTTTTGCCTCTGTTTGTCCTCAAAGGCCACGAATAAAACAGCTGGCCCATGGGATGAGACATGTGCCACCCAGGAGAGCTCTTCCAGTGGCATTCCCAGGGCTCTGAAATGTCTCCTGTGCCAAAGAGGGGGCATGGACACTTCTGGGACTTCCTAAAGGATGGAGTGTGTAGAGCTCGTGCAAAATGAATCCTGTGGCTGAAGATTCTGTGCTTGGGGATGTAGGTGCAAATCCTTATCACCATCCATCTCTTTATTTTGGGTAGAGGACCTGTGGGTGGGGGTGTCCTCTTTGGTCACTGTCTGTGCAGCGAGTTTTCTGAATGATGGGATCTCCCTTTGGCTGCAGTTGGACATGTGAGGGGTTGTAGAGCCAAGATGGTCAGAGGGATGGAGCTGCTCTCCTGTAAGGAAAGGCTGAGGGAATTGGGATTGCTCAGCCTGGAGAAGAGAAGCTCAGCCTTCCAAGAAAGATGGGGAGAGACATTTTACAAGGGCACGTAGTGACAGGACAAAGTGGAATGACTTCAAAGTGACAGAGAGCAGGTTTAGGATGTCAGGAAGAAATGCTTCCCTGTGAGGGCAGCAAGGCACTGGAAAAGGTTTCCTGGAGCAGCTGTGGCTTCCCCTGGATCCCTGGCAGTGCCCAAGGCCAGGTTGGACACGGGCTGGAGCAGCCTGGCACAGTGGAAGGTGTCCCTGCCCATGGCAGTGGAGATGGAACTGGATGAGTTTTAAATTTCCATCCAACCCAAACCACTCCATGACTTTGTGATCCCTTTTTCCCTAACAAAGTGCCGTGTGACCAGTCGAAGGGCAGAGATGCAAAATGCACCTTGTTCTGTGCTTGTCCCAGAGCTAGAGCAGAGGGGCTGTGCAGAAACCATGATCTCTCCTCTGTGGAAAGGAGCAGGGACCAAGGAAGGGGAGGCACAAACAGCTGCAGGTCCAAGAAAGGCCTGCTCAGACCACAGAGTCTCAAAGGGCAGCACAGAGCTGAGGTTAAGGGAAGGCTCACGAACACCCTGGTGCTACAGCACCATTGATATATTCAGTATTTTATGTTTACTTTGACTGTTTAGCACCTTCTGCTTGGGTATTTCTGGTCTGGTGTAACTCATTGCTGCCTGGGGAGCTCGTGACAAACACATTGACCACCCTCACAAAGGTGTTACTTCTCACAAAGTTCTGCAGGCTTCCTCAACTCTATTCTGCAGCTGGCACCAGGGAAGAAATAATTTGTGGGTTAGACCTTCAAATGATCCACTATCGACCTTCTGATTCCAGACCTTCCTACGCCACAAAAAGCAATGGTTATAAATTCATAAATGATGAAAAATTAAACATGCAGTG